ATAATATCAAGCCCACTCCCCGCATCGGCATAGACCTGCAAGAACACCTCCAGCTCGGCCCCCTTCCATCTCGACTGCCGACACGGGTCCACGATTTTCTCCACCGTGTCAACAAAGAAGTCCCGCAGATCACGCGTGTTGTTGAGGGCGCAGCCGATGTTGATGATGGCCCTCGAGTAGACCTTGAAGTTATTCTCAACCTCAGTGCACATGCGGTCAGGGATCTTCCCCCGCAAGTGGCTTAGGGTCATACTGGAATAAGGGTTGCAGAGTTAGAATGGAGAGCTGTAAACATTCGGAGGTGTGGGGGGTGGGGGTGGAATAGGGGAGGGGGGATGAGGGTATGGGTAAGAGCAGGGATTGGGGGATGGGGATGGGGATGGGAACAGAGGGATGGAAATGGAGGCGGGAGAGGGTATGCAAATGGGGAAGGGGGTGAAATTGGAGAGTGAGATACAGATGGAGGTACAAAAGGGGGTGGGGAAGGGGATAAGTTTGGGGATGTAGAGAAAGATGGGAATGGGATAGGGATGGGGATGGGCATGTAGATGAGGATGTGGACGAGATGGAGATGTAGATGGGGATGGGGATGTAGACAGAAATGGAAATAGAGATAGGGATGGGGATAGGCATAGGTATAAAGATATGGATAGGAATAGGAATAGGGATAGGGATAGGGACAGGAGCAGGGACAGGGACAGGGACAGGGACAGGGACAGGGACAGGGACAGGGACAGGGACAGGGACAGGGATAGGGATAGGGATGGTGATGGAAATTTGCTGAATGCACTTCATACACTCCCACTGTATCTTCACATTTATTCACTGACATTATGAAAAAAAATTAATAAATAAACAAATAAATAAATAAAACATGTATAACTGAGTCCCTTCTCCTTCCCCAAAGAAAATGACACTAAAATATTACTTTAGAAAAACAATAATTCTATAACGTATAACGAATCACACACATTACAAATCTATAGACAACTCCTACTTCCTGTGTTCCTTCTCCCGATCTAACAGGAGCTTGAAGTCCCTAAGATCCATGAGGAACTCTCGGTCCACGTCAGAGTCGTCACGGCCATCTGCACCGACATTGAAGCTGGACGAGATAGTGGAGGTCGTCCAGGAGTTCATCATGAGGGACGCGCACAACGAAAAATCCTCGAAGGTGAGGTAGTTGAGCTTCCTTTTGCTCGTCTCGAATCTGTTGTTGATGATGAAGACAATCGATGCGTATTTCCTGCAACGAGGGATGGAAGCTTTTAAGTTTTCGCTATATGGCAAGTCTGCACAAGAAGGTTTGGTAGTTCTCTTTTTTTAAGTATATCTGAATATTATGCAATAGTATTTTGACACTAGGAAGTCACAGTATCTTTATCAATAGCATTTGCACAATTGCACATCTAGACAATAAAAGGACAAAATGCTAAAACATATAAAATGCTAAAACATATAAGACCTAAATACATTAAAGCTTACTCACTATCAAGATGAAATATATATATATATATATATATATATATATATATATATATATATATATATATATATATATATATATATATATATATAGATATATAGATATATACATATATACATATATACATATATACATATATACATATATACATATATACATATATACATATATACATATATACATACATATACATACATATACATACATATACATACATATACATACATATACATATATATACATATACATACATATACATACATATACATATACATATACATATATATATATATATATATATATATATATATATATATATATATATATATATATATATAAACTGATCCCTTTAAAACAAATTTTCTAGATCAGTTAATAACTATGCCCTCATGTCATTCTTAGTTTCCCTATCAATTCAAAACACTGTTAATGAAAACCTAATTTCTAAAATGACAACTGCATGCATACACAGAATGTAATAAAGAAAAAAAAACATCACATGTAAAAGTATTACCTACAGAGAAATGAACTTCAAAAAAACTTACTTGGCTAATTCATTTGGTAAGAGAAATGACGACTGGATATTTGCCACCACGGAACCTGGCATTTCATCTACTTGCTTGAATATCCTTTTCACATTGTCAAACTGACGTCTGCAAATTGAAAAAATACCCATCTTACTTTCACAGCATGCCAGTTTCTAAGAAGAATAATACCATTCTGTAGTACTATTAAGAATATAAAATTTTCCTCTCTCACCTGCATGAGCGTAGCAAAACACCTGTTTTTTCAGCAACATCATCCAGGTCTTTGCGAGTTCTACCTGATAATTTCTTTCCAATGATCTCTCGAATGACAATATCATCAAACTCATAATACCTGTAATTGTAAAACGAGACAGTTGTTAAACATTTTACTTATTCTGCCACATGTACTAAATATTCTTTACAAATCAAAAAAAATTCAAAAACTTTGATCATTTGCAACAGAAAATAAGAAATAAATGCAAAAACA